TTTTCCAGACTAGGGATCAGAGGATGAGCCAATTCTGAAGATTTTAGTACCATTACTGCATAGGGTAAACGCGGTATATTCCGACACTTTAAGGATGCATCGAGAAATGAAAAACTATAAAAAAAACTGTATGCGTTACATAAGTTCTGTTGCCTTCACATGACTCTCAAAACACTTCACACGCGTCAGCAACGATGAAACGTCACAAAATGTTGCCATATTTATTAAAAAGCCTTTAGAATGGAAACCTACCAAATCCCTATATTCCGTCACTTTGTGTGGCAACATCCGACACGTGGTGAGTCGTATTGCGTCAGCGCTTCAAATTTAACTGATACGTATTGCCAAGGCATGCATTGTCTCTCTTTGGATCTCAATATTTTCCCGCTAGATGGCCAAGACCTAGTGTTTTTGCAGTATTTCGACATGCAAATGTATGACGTCACCATTTCAACCATCAATGAACGCATGGAACTAAAACAAAGCTTAATATAAAGGATAAACTAGAGAAGTGACGGAATTACCTACGATGTCGGAATATACCGCGTTTACCCTACTGTTTTACTGGCATTAGTGATTACTGATTACTGAGCTCAGGTGCTCAGCTGACACAGCGAACCACCCCTTTCTTCAGAAGTAAGAAAGCTTTTGCTGGGGAAGGTTGTGTTACCTGATCGGTCTGTAAAGAAGCATTGATCGGTTCAAAATGACATAAGACCAGGTTCTTTTGAATAACATATAGAATTGCATCATGCTGTGCAGAGAGTGGATGCATATTGCAAGATCTTTGGTGACGCTTCAGTAGCAAAATTTACGCCTTCAGAAGATCTTGCCAACAGATTTAGATTGTAATTCTTGCATTTAATATATTTGTCAGCCTTCGGTCAACTATTTAGAAAAAAAGTAAGGTTTCCGGTACGTTGGATGGATCAGGATGCAGTAAAGCTTGTCCAGAAATCGGTTGGATGAGTTCCGGCCAAAAAAATGTAAACAAAATGTAGTTGCGGTCACATTAGAGCGGTCAGACTGCATCATCACATGTTCAGTTGACACTTGCTGTACTATCAGGCTGTTTTTAGGGTAAAATTATTTATTTGGGGTAACACGTGCATGCAACCTTGTAAATAAGTTTGTGGCTTGTAAATAGTTTTTCATTACTCAGCGTAAATGACTTTTCATTAAAAATTACCCGGTGACGCATTTTAAAAATGGTTGGCAACGCTTTGGGCTTAAAAACCCATATATTGGTAACACTGCTTCCACCAGGCATGGAATATTTCTACTTGGCGAGCCACGACTGAATTTTTTGAGCCGTGGTTTTATGGGTTTGCTAGCCGTGATTCCATTTCTTTGAGCCGTGATTCCATTTCACCTAGCCGTGAATTCCATATCTAGGCCATGAAAAGCCATTTACGAGGCGCAAATTTATTTACAAACTACATGCATGTGTTATCCCAAATCTCTAATTATACCCTAAAACAGTCAAACAGCAACAATAAAAATTGTCTTTACTGTAAGTTGAGCATGTGTTAATGGCAGTCTGACTGCTTTGACATGACTGCAAGTATGTGCGATCTTCAACAAAACGTTTAGTTGATTTGTTTACATTACGATGTTTGTTTTTTTCTGCAGGATATTTTCGCTGGAACGGTAAAGCAATGCAGATTGCGGAAGTTGAAAATTTTATGAAATGACGCGTTTCCGAAGTGCAAACCGCAATTTTTCAATCAAACAAAAATTTGTGACATTCAAGCCGCGATATTTCAGACAAAAATAGGACTTTTCCAGCCCTGGCTTCCACCTTCTGCACCCTGGTCTATTCTAAGACTTTGACTTGAGTACCTAATAAGGGTTTGGTTTTACCATTTTTGCAATGGTTATTGAAAATGGAAGTGTATTACAACTAATGTAAATTTTGTGGTTGATTGTTCAAGCCTCAATTGCTTTGATTCTATCAGGTAGGATGGAATTCTAAAATTAGTGGTTCACTTAAAAAAGTGTTCTGCCTTAAAAAAAGTTCCAGGCAACTACAAAAAGGTTTGCAGGCCATCAGAAATTGGCTTCGGCATGAACATTCGGCAAGTCAGGCAACACAGAGAAGGTTTCAAGATTGCTAATTGCACTCTCCACTCACAGATGAGCAAGAGGGATCTACAGAAGGAAATACTATTTACTCTTAACATAATGGTTTCAAATTAAATATAATAAAACATTTATTGCAGTAATTGCACCCATTTGTTACATCAGCTTTTAAATTAAGGAGAAATTCATTGGCTATTAGAGAAACTTGTTGAAGAAATCCGAAATGGCAATACACAACAACAACGTGACATGACACTTGTCTCAGTTGACTGACTACTGGTGACTAGACTAGAGTACTCAAAAATTTAGCATTCAAACCTTCAGTTTCTGAGAACCTTGCGATTTCTACATTATTAGATCTTTAGATGGCTCACAATATATCACGTAAAGTTTTCACATCACTTAATTATCATGTCAAAGTTTGAGAGTTTTATCTGCAGTTAATGCACTGTAGTTACCCCCACCCACAGATCGCGTAATAAGAACTAATCAGAACACTCATTAGATTTGAGTCTGAGTCAAAAGTCATTGTTTGTTGCACACAATTGGTTCTGCATACATGTATAACATTTACGAAGGTTATTAAACCATTCTGTTAAATGTCAGTTACCAAAAAATTTGTAATACAGAAGAATTTGTATCATTCATTTTTTCACATGAGTATATTGATGTCCTATTGGTTGGTATCCCTGCCACCTTCTTAGTCTTAGTTATTGTTTTTGTTTGGTTGGTATTCGAGATTGCAAATGGAAGCAGTTTGCATGTCTCAGCTGAGTACAGCAGTGATCATTTTTGTATTAGTGGATTCAATAATAGGCAGTTTTTCATGTATTTCTGAGTGAATATACATACTAGCGAAGATGTTATTCTTTGCGATTTCCATTGATAATTACATAACTTCATTATTGTATAAAGCACTTGAAATAAGAAGTGCAAGTGAATGAACTTATTCAATTGTGTTATACTTCAATGAGGCGGTCTCATTATTTGATTGCCTCTCAGTTACTTGATGATATCTCTTCAATTTCTTTTTCAATTACTGTCACTTAAATTAAAAATTGCAGGATCTTTGTTTGCAATTATTTTGTCATTGCTAGAATTGCTGGTGTTTGTAATTAAAGTAGGATTAAATTATCATCAGCGCATTAATATTGTCTGCATTTGGGGGCAGTCCATTCTAGCTTTCTAATGATGATTGGATTCCAGTGGCTGTGACGTTGCACACGTTCTGATACTGATTGAATTCTTGTGACTGACGTTGCTTGCGTTCAAGCATTGATTGGATACTTGTTACTGTGATACTGCAAGCGCTGTTTTTCCCAATGAAACAGCTGTGGCAGCTTGCAGAGACTCATCAGTGATGATGGACTGAAAGTGGAGGTATGCTGGCCTTTCCAGATTTTGAGGTCCTGCTTTCTGATTTGCTATGTTTACCAGTTAATATATTACCTCTCTGAAATTCCACACTGCTGTCTGGTTGGTTTCCATAGACCATAATGGCTTACTTTAAGCAGGCATGGAATATATCTACTTGGCAGGCCGTGACTGGATTTTTTGAGCCGTGAATTCTATATCTCAGCAGCGGCCATGAAAAGCCGTTTACAAGCTGCAAACTTATTTACAAAGTTGCATGCACCTGTTATCACAACTACATAATTTTACCCTAAAAACTGTCCAATCATACACAATCAGCTGATGCCTGATAGCAGACAGATGGCAGATTTGTGATGAGTTATGACTGCTAGATGTTGAAATAGATAGATGTTGAAAATATTTACTTCCTAACATGTTAGTTGGTACCTACCAATCTACCTTCAAATTACACCACCACCACCAACATCTCATTCTGAGCTGCAAAGTCCCTGCTAGACCAGTAGGGCAGTAGACCTAAATGAATCATCCCCCATATATTTTTTGATAGATGTTCATGATCAAGCTAAGAACCCATTTTTTGACCTGTTCTTAAATATTAATTTTGCACTATTATTGGTTTTACTTTACTAGGGCTTGAAAAGATTCTATAAGTTTGGTAAAGTTTTCAAGTTTTTTTGTTTGAATATTCCATTATCAAATAATCTATTTGGTTAATGTTTTGTATTACAAAAATCTATAAAAAATATAACTCAGTACTCACTGCAATGAGTGACAGAGCACATTTTCTCATCGACAAAAACTTGAGGTCATGGACGGACGGATGGACAGACAGACAGGCAAGCACAATAGTGCATTTTTTCAATAAATGAGAAAATGCGCGAAAAATGGGTGAGTCTAGTGTGCAAAACATCAACCTTTCAAGCTAAGACTAGAGCTTCTTCGCCATTTTGGAGCCACAAGATTCCTACGTAATGAATTACCTCCTATCTAAATGTTAACAGAACTGCACAATTTGGCTATGAGATTACAAATAAATTGAAAATTTATAGTTTTGAATCCTTAAAAGTTTTGTAACGAGTAGAAAAATTCCAATCCTGGACAAGTGAACTGTTAACTTGCATCTCTGTTTTCTTTTATGAGTTACTTCAAATAATATGTAGCATGGATTAGAACAACTATAAATTTTTTATTGTAAATTAGTCTCTGAATTCATGGAAATAAGTTTTAGCCAATTTCTGGCAATAAAAAGTTTTGTGGTTACTCTGTCTTTTTTTTTGTGGTTACTCTGATACAATAAAAATACTTTAAACAACACAATGACCAGACACAGTTTTTTATTCTATCCAATCTATACTGTATCCAATCCAATTGCTATCCAATCTCATTGTGCATTATTATAGGACAATGTTGCTTATATTACTTAGGTGATATTTTGGATGTTTCAAAATTGTTTCATTTTGATGCATTATGTTGTTATATTTTTCTCCCACCTCTTCTGTAGGATTTTATGTTATGTTATATATCTATTGTTTGGACACTGGATTATTAAACAAGGAACATGTCGGGAAAGGAGTCCATTTTATCTACAAGTGACCTGGATTCTAAGGTGAAAGTGAAATTGCAAGATCACCTTAATAATACCTTTCACCATTTGGATTATCGCAGTTCATTACAGAAGCAGGCCATCTTGGCTGCTGTGAAGGGTAAGTGTTACTTCAATTACATTTCTTCCTAAGATTGACTGTAATGCAGTTTGGGAAATTTTATCCAGAAAGATTTCGAAATCAACATATTCATTTAAAATTTTTATAATGTTGTTTGTTGACAGTTGATAATTATGTATCTAAACATTTTGTTATTGGTACAATCTATTACAAATTCTACTATATTGTGCACTCATTTGCTTATGTTTCTCTCTTATAAATTTGACTATATTGAAGCTATTGTTAAGTATGCATTTCTCATGAACTTAACTATTCAGTAACTTAACAGACAGGCCATGGGCCTATTTCTTCAGTGCCGACACTTCTATTCTATTCTTAACTTGCTTTACAGGAAGCCATGACGTGTTTGTATGTATGCCAACCGGTGCAGGCAAGTCACTATGCTACCAGTTGCCTGCTGTTCTTGCTGAGGGTAAAGTAGCTGTTGTTGTGTGTCCTCTCATTGCTCTTATCAAGGATCAGTTGGACCATCTGAAGAAGCTTAAGATACCAGCAGCCACAATCAACAGCAAAATAACTTCTACTGAAAGAAAGAAAGTTATTGATGATCTTCGGTCTTGTAAGCCTGATACCAAGCTGTTGTACATCACTCCTGAACAAGCAAACACTTCCACATTTCAGGTATGTACAGTCATATTAGTAACATTTAAAGTGGCAAATGTATTTTTAAAAATATTTTGAGTATGATGTAATGTTTTGAAATTATTTAGTATAGATCTCAGGAGAGATGGATTTTAACTCTGAATGAATGTTGCTATTGAATACTGTATCTCCAAGTTGAAATTTTAATAATACTGAATGTATTTTAAAATTCATTAACATTCTTCATGTTTATATTCTTCATAATTCTTCTCTTACTAAATAATGAGGTAAAAATTATAGCAATGATAAAAAATATTGGTATAAAAAAATGACATGAATGGTTGTCTCACTGAAATCCCATCCATCTTTTCTTTGTAAGCCAAGAAACTACCAAGCAAGTTCACTAAATCTTCAATGATTTGGGGTGAATGAATTTCATTGAACAAGAAAATTCAATAAATATCCATTGAAGATTGAGGACATGGTGAACTTCCTTGTTTTTTTTTTTTTTGCTTTGAAATTCGTGATGAACTTGTGATGTAAACAGACTATTGATATAAGTAGGTACTTTTCTTTTTCTTATTATACTATTTTTTTTGAAGAATTTGAAAGAGGAGTCTGTGATTATAAGATTTGTGTGTTGTTGATTATCCAATTGCCTTGATGCAATTCTCTTCTATTGTTGTTGCTCTTAATTTGCAAGTCTAATTCATGATATTCTTTTCATTGCAATTAGAGCTTAGCAGAACACATGAGTCGACACAAGAAAGTTTCGTACATTGTGGTTGATGAAGCCCATTGCGTGAGCCAGTGGGGTCATGACTTCAGGCCCGACTACCTGAAGCTCTCACATCTACGACGCATGGTCCCTAGAGTGCCTTGGATAGCTCTTACTGCCACAGCAACAGCCCAGGTTAACAGTCCAGCATTCATTGCGCAAATATTGTAAAAATTATTTATTTCATATGCTCATCTTTACACTTGAGAAGCCTTTGGCTTACATCATGTGAAAATCTATTAAAATGTATTAGTTACCTCTATCCAGAATAAAGAAAGTTCTTCTTTGACGTATACTGAGCATGGATTTATTTCAATTACGTATCATTCAGTCTGTTATTTATTGAGTAGATGTCTGAATTTTTGTGGCTTGAAAGAGCATTGCATGGAAACAAATTCACCAGAATTATAGAAGTATTTTGCTACGTTTGCTTGTGGCTTTTAACGATGGGCAAAGATACTGAGACGTACTCTCATCTGCATGATGTTGCATATGGCTTCTGATTGTGAAAAAATTTCAGCTTTTGCCATCATAGTGAAATTATCTCCAGAAGTGCTGTGCATGGTCTGTCTCAATCAGGAAATTTTTTTCCCCCAAGACTCCTTACCTCTGATATTTAGATAGCTTGCTGCAAGTTTAAGTTGTGTGTTTAATTTCCCATAGGGTGCTTATGTGCACTTCTCAAGTTTTATTGCAAACTTTCTTTGGCAGTTCGCTGCAAATTTAGACCACTTTTGAGATAAATTTAATTATGTGGTAAAAACAAATTTCTGATGATAGGGGAGTGCATACTTTGCACAGCTTATATGCAGCATGAAAGTATTAATCTGTTAATAAATGAAAAATTCTTATCAAAATTCCCAAGAATTTGCTGTTCATTTGATTAGCAAACTTTTTGTTTACTGATATTTTCTGTTCTACTCCATGCTTTGCCTGCAACTATTAAAATGATTGAACTAACCCAGATTGGAAATTGAGTGCGCTTTTTGCGTTTGAATTATGCTACTTTTTTTGAAGGAGTTGAAGAGTATATATGCTCCATACTATTGGCAGTTTTATTATACCTTGCAGGTGACTGAGGACATTGAACATCAGCTGGCCCTCCGAGATCCTGTGCTGCGATTTAAAGCCTCTTCATACAGGCGTAATCTTTTCTATAGTGTCAAGTGAGTTCATAGTTCACCTCCTCTTGAGATGCATTCCTTTCTTAATCTTTAACAAATTTGAAGAACAAAATTCAAATTTTATTCATATCCTCATTTTATTCATATCCATTTTTTTTATTCATATCCATTTTATTCTGTTCATTCATGAGTGAAGCGGTATGCTGATTCTTGTTATGGAAAGTATTAAATTGCTCTTTTTAAGACAACAAATTTTCCAGGTTCAAAGAAGTTCTTGATGATCCCTATGCAGACCTCAAAGAATTCCTTGCTGAAGCTCTTGGTGGTGAACTCTCCCACAGAACTGTGAGTAATCTCAATCTGTTCACTAAAATGTCTTTAAAATGATCTTGTATTTCATATGATTGCCATGTATCATAATAAAATTTTTGATGCTGGATCTGCTTTTGTAAACTTTTTAAGATATAATTTGCAAGTGGGATAGTCCCTTTAGTCATTGTAGACAGAAATAGTATTTTTTTGAAATGTTGAACTTTTATTGCCCTGTTTTTATAGTAGGTAGTTTATTTGGTTTATTATTTATTGTTTTGACGAAAATATTATAGTGTTGGTTTTTATTAACATTTTCACTGTTATCATTTTCAGAAAAAATCTGGCTGTGCTATAGTGTATTGCCGCACTCGCAACGCTACTGAAGAAGTGGCTGAAGCTCTCAGCTACCGAGGGGTACCAACCAAATGCTACCATGCAGGTCAGTGCAAATTATCCACTATTTTTGCACCATATCTACTAATAAGTTAGCTAATTATGTGTGGGTGGTGTCAATCATACCAAGGAAAATTTTTACAAGGGTTAAATGGATCAATAGTACCTGAATTTATTTTTTAAAGATATCTTCATTGAAAAAAAAATGTCTTGGATCATAAGGGAAAATTTTGGTTTTCTGCATATCATAATTTTTAGTCAATACACACTGCTGCTGTTCATACACACTGCTGCTGTTCATACACAATGCTGCTGTTCATACACAATACCACAAAACTCTACTAAGGCTTCTAAATCACTTACCGTCAATTGGACTGTTGTGTGTTACCAAATATTTATGCGGCAGGCCTGAAGGACAAGGAGCGAGCTGAGGTGCAGGACAGCTGGATGAGAGGCGACGTGCCTGTCATTACCGCCACCATCTCCTTCGGCATGGGCGTGGACAAGGCATCAGTCAGGTCATTACAGGCAATAGTACTGAGATAAAGTAGTGTACCCACACTCATTATACTGAGATAAAGTAGTGTGCCCACACTCATTATACTGAGATAAAGTAGTGTACCCACAGTCATTATACTGAGATAAAGTAGTGTACCCACAGTCATTATACTGAGATAAAGTAGTGTGCCCACAGTCATTATACTGAGATAAAGTAGTGTACCCACACTCATTATACTGAGATAAAGTAGTGTACCCACACTCATTATACTGAGATAAAGTAGTGTACCCACACTCATTATACTGAGATAAAGTAGTGTACCCTCACTCATTATACTGAGATAAAGTAGTGTGCCCACGTTCATTATGCTGAGGTAGAGTAGTGTACCCACACTCATTATACTGAGATAGTGTCGTTTACCCACATTCATTATACTGAGATAGTGTCGTGTACCCACATTTATTATAAATTTTCATAACTGATTCATCATCCCTGTCTCATTCAACATAGCAACAACTTCTTTGTTCACAGTAGACAATCTAATTCTAAGGCAAATTGGCAATTATTTTCATAACTGTCGATTCTTAAATTTTGTTCATCAAGTGATAATTTAATAGTTTAATTCAATGAACCCTGCTTGAACTTGAAAATTGAATAGTTTAAAGCCAGCATGATTTTCATGATTTACGTGACGCTTGCAGGGCGGTGGCGCACTGGAGTGTCCCCCAGAGCATGGCTGCGTACTACCAAGAGTCAGGCCGTGCTGGCCGGGACGGCAAGCCTGCGCAGTGCCGTATCTACTACAGCAGAAAAGAGCGCGGCATCATCGAGTTCTTGATGAAAAAAGTTAGTTGCTCATAATGATACTGGTTTATTAGGGGTTTGCGACTTTTTGATGTTATTAATCAAGCAATCCAACTCCAGTTTCATCCTTATTTTCTTAAGATTCTTAATGTTCTTGTTAAAAGCGCAGCATCATCGAGTTCTTGATGAAAAATGTTAGTTGCTCAGGGCCTATACTTTCAAAACCTAACTTTCAAAAATAGTTAAGAGATTGTAAGTTCATCTGCCAATCATTGACGGCCTTTCAAGCAAAATACACCAATCGTAGAAAAGAAAATAGAGCGTAAGTACTTACGTTCACTTTGCGAGTTTTGAAAGTATAGGCCCAAAATGATACTTGTTTAGTAGTGGTTTACCACTTTTATGATGTTATTTTTTAAGCAATCCAACTCCAGTTTCATCCTTATTTTCTTAAGATTCTCAACGTTCTTGTTAAAGACTAATACTTTTTAGCACATTCATTTAATATATCTACCATTCAGATGATATTTTAAGTGGAGGTTTTGAAATTGTTATAAAACGAGTTTGCCATATTGGCCGCTTGCCTAGGCATACTTATTTCCCATTCCATCTTATTGCCGTTAAGTATTAGATGACAATAGTATATGATCTCAGCAACCTCGGTTTGAGTGCCGCTTAATGAATAATATCTCTTGTCTACTTATCTAGTCCATAGAAGAAATTGCTTTTGAATGCTAAAGAGATATCTTGAGATGAAAGTAAGCTATCATCAGGTTTTAGACACGTAGAAAATGTTGTATTTTCACTGGTATTCTTTCATTTAACCTTGATTTTCCTTTTACTCGCAGGATGTATCAAAGGCAAAAACTTCACGGAAGGAAGATGTCGGGAAAGCTGCATTAAAAGGCTTTTTTGAAGTCATAAAATTTTGTGAAGATCCAAAGTAAGTATCATTATAACAGCGTCTCGGGCTGTTTGCATATCAGGGCCTATACTTTCAAAAAAAGTTAAGAGATCGTAAGTTCATCAGCCAATCATTGGCGGCATTTCAAGCAAATTCCACCAATCATAGACAAGAAAATAGAGCGTAAGTACTTACGTTCACTTAGTCATAGACAAGAAAATAGAGCGTAAGTACTTACGTTCACTTAGCGAGTTTTGAAAGTATGTCCCCTGATTCATAAAGAGTTGCCAATTGCATTGTAACTTGACTGAAATTTATTGCATTTCTTTCAAGTGAAACTAATCACTTTTACTGCCATTCATTTTAATCAATTACGATTTCCCATGTTTTTTTAAAAGATTTTTATAATAATCTAAGAATACCTAATAGCTCTTTATATTATAGTTTTTATCGAAGTATTTTAATTTCTTTTTTGTTAGTTTGAACCAAACTTCTTGTGTCAAAAAGCACATGTCAGCGCTTTGGTTTTTGGGGACTCGTTCATTGCAGTTTATGTGATGTAATTATTCATTGCAGTTTATGTAATGTAATTAGTCGTTGCAGTTTATGTAATGTAATTATTCATTGCAGTTTATGTGATATAATTATTCATTGCAGTTTATGTAATGTAATTATTCATTGCAGTTTATGTAATGAAATTATTGATTGCAGTTTATGTAATGTAATTATTCATTGCAGTTTATGTAATGTAATTATTCGTTGCAGTTTATGTAATGTAATTATTCGTTGCAGTTTATGTAATGTAATTAGTCGTTGCAGTTTATGTAATGTAATTAGTCGTTGCAGTTTATGTGATGTAATTATTCATTGCAGTTGTCGGCACTACAGTTTCTGTAAGCACTTCGGCGAGCAAGGTGGACTGGACGGGGGAGTGGGCAGCTCCCGCACATGTGGCAGCCACTGCGACTACTGCACCAACACCAAGGGCGTGGAGCAGCTCAAGGTACGCCTGCTGTTGGTGCAATGAAACTATTTTAGTGCGCTCGCTGTTGGTGCAATGAAAACTATTTATATTGACTTTAACAGTTGTAAAACTGGAATTTTGGAAATAGAAAGACAGCTCAAGGTGCGCCTGCTGCTGGTGCAATGAAACTATTTTTAACAGCTGTCAAACTGGACTTTTGGGAATAGAAAAACTTCTAGTGCATATATGTTGTTGAATACATGAATTACATGTTTAACTTAGACCTGGTAACTAAATTATTGGCATTAGCGTCGTTTGTAATGCATTTTTGGCACGTTAACGAGATTGATAACAAAGAAAGTAATCACTACTAATTATTTCGAGTGTAGTTGAGGACCACCTTTTCCATATTCATTACTGAACTTATAAATAAACTTGAGTTTTTAGTGCATTTCCTCATTTATGAAAAAAGCGCTATTGTGCTCGTCATGTCTGTCTGTATGTCCGTCCGTGATTTCACGGACGGGCGGACGAGAAAATGCGCTCTCTGTCACCAACTGATCTATTTTTTTTGTGACGTACTTCATCTATGGTGCAGGTCGCGTTTATGGGCGCGTTGCTGCGTAAGCGCACTCCCCTGTTCACCGGACCCTCGCCTCGCTACCTCGGCCGCGAGGACAACGAACTTTATGGAGGGGGCAGAAGGGGGCAAAAAAGGTTAATATTTTATGCTATTTAATATATAAGAAATGCTTAATAACACCATAACTACAAGACCTTATTTGCAATTAGGACTACATCGTTTATGAATCTTTCAAGTAAATGTGTTTGATTCATGTCATACTACATTTTTTTGTGTGCCAGGAAAGCACCTTTTATTTGTACTTTTTAGCGCACTTTCTCATTTATGGAAAAAATTCACTATTGTGCTCGTCATGTCCGTCCGTCCGTCCGCCTGTCCGTGACTTCACGGACGGACGGACGGACGAGAAAATGCGCTCTCTGTCATTCACTGCAGTGAGTACTGAGTTATATTTTTAACCATCTTGCAGGGAAGCGGAATGCTATAACGAGGACAACGACTTCGACATTCGAGATTTAGAACATTCCGAGAAGATCCGGCGCACGGCTATTATCTCTGAGCAGTTTGCTTTAAGACGCAAAGGGAGAGCGAATGAGACGCCTGAGCACGGTAACAGCGCCAGAAATTCGGCCAATGAAACAAATTCAGGAAAAAATAAGAGCAAGATAGCGGAGAAGCTGAGGGCAGAGGAGGAGCTCAAGGAGCAACTTAACAGAACCAAGCTGAGAGCAGCTGAGTTCACGGCCATCAAGATTGCTGGACTCACCATTTATGTGAGTTTGCTTAATGCCTTCAATGTTACTCAGACTTCTCCAGCAGTTGGTCTTGTGTAATGATCTCAAAGGGCACTTTCTCGTATATTTTGATTTGATTTATATAGTCTAAACGTATTTGAAGTCATCTTTGTTCACACGTAATATCAGGTATTGTTGCGATAGTAATTGCGTCTGTTGCATGTAATTTTTTTTCAGTAACAGCTTGTGCAAGTTATAGTTGGAATGTAAATTTTGCTCCTATAAACTTTCATTGATGCAAACCTCTGATTCGCATACTTGCTTTTTTGATTTTACTTCCATGTATTTATGCGGTGAGAATTATTTAGATTGCATGTAGTCTAGCATGGGCGCAGTTGACTTGTCATCTGCTACCAATATTTTAACACGTTGACTCCGATTGCTTCATCTTGTACTATCATTTCATTTTTTAGAATATTTTGAAACAGGGTTGCCAGACGGTCTTTTTTTTCCCGGATGAATTCCGCGATTTAGTTTTTTAAATTGCGTTGGCCGGCTAAAATTTATGATGAGAGTTCTTCCGAATTAAATTTTGAAAACTGCAAAAAATGTAATTTTTACACCAAAACCTACAAATATACTAGTACATATCAAGTTACAGATCTTGTTTGGCCTTCTTTGTTGGCGGACTTGTTCTTTTTCTAAGCCATCTGGCAACCCTGAATTATGTACCACCACGTCCTAGAGAAATACAATTCGTGGTACGCATATGTACCACTTGGAAGTCAACGTGTTAAGGGCTTATTCACCTGACTTCTTTTATTGTATTTACGTTTTCACTATTAATGTAACTAGTAATTATATAGTTTCTTGGCTAATGATGTATCTTTTTGGCAACAATGAAGCTTTTTGCTAATAATGTATCTTTTTGTTAATATTGTAACTTTTTGCAGACTCGTGAGAGCTACCTGGCGCTGCTGCAGCAGGCGCTGGAGCAGAACAGCGAGCTGAGCAGCGTACGCTGCCGTGACCGCCAGCAGCTCCTGAGTCCCCTGGCCGTTGAGTGGGAGTATCTAGCCTACAGCAGCACTGCCGTCAAGATGATGTACCAGAAGAACATGATGGATAGGGTATGTGATGTTGCTCTCATGCTATTATTTATTTTTAGGATGGTGACTCTTTTTTATATAAATGAACCTCTATTAAGCCTACAGCAGCACTGCCGTCAAGATGATGTACCAGAAGAACATGATGGATAGGGTATGTGATGTTGCTCTCATGCTATTATTAATATTTTAGGATGGTGACGCATTTTTTACATAAATGGAGCTCGTTATTCAGCTATTGCTTGGTGGAAAGTCAATAAATTTTTTATTGCCTAAGTGTGGAATGAACGCATTAGGAAAAGTTTTCATTAATTCAATAGTTTTGGTTCTTATTCCTGTTTTATCCTATGGTTGTTTACGATTATGCGTAGATTTAAAATTTCATCTCATAAAAATTCCCTATTGCTTTCGATGTGGTATTACTAAATAATTGAGCTACAGACGAGGGTAAACTTATTGTCAAACTATATTTTTCTGAATTTGGTTTTCAGATCAAGAAATTGCGGGAGTCGACCAAAAGTTTTCAAGTTAATGCCGAGGTGCAAGATCTCCTGGACAAGCTGGAGCGAGGAGAGATTGCTCTCGCACCGCAGCAAGAGCAGCGCGCGGACAGAGCAATCACTGACTTCTATGCTCCGTCCAAGCGACGTCGTGGCGAGAACCAAGATCAGCAGGAGAAGAGTGACAAAGAGACCACAGAAACAAATGATATGAATCATGTTGAAAAAATGGAAACGTCCAGCTCAGACGAAGATAATGACAAGTCCGTTAAGCTCACGCTAGAATGTAAGAAAGAATCTGAGAATGATGGTACAAGTGAAAAGGAAGAAGATAACATTAGTAACATGGAAACAACCTCATGCACTCGTTCAAGGAGGATGTTGAGCTCTGATGAAGACAGCGATGACTTACGAGCGAGCGCCGCCTCCTCTACGGATGTAGACTCCGCTGGAAGCTCGAACTTCAATCCCTGGTTTGGTGATGATGCATTTGAAGATGCCGATGACTATGATATTGATAAAGATGATGCCTCGGATCGTCTCGATGATGTCAGTAATTCCAAGCTTGTAGGCAAGTGCAAAGTGGGTGATGAGAAGTCATTGGGAGATACTAATAACGAGCTCTTCATGAAAACACAAACATCTTGTTTATCGTCTAGCGAAGCGGGCGCTGAGGGGCAACAGACGGACAATATTAACACATCTTTGTCTTCAAGTGACGATTCAATGCCGCTCAATAAGACTCAGGAGAAAAAGGCGCCTGACACAGACGCGACTGAGGAAAAATATTACTATGATTCTATGGGTGTACTCCGTATTTCTGGTGGAAATTTAGCAAGTGCCAAACTGCAAGAAGATGAAAGTAGTGTAGATAGTTTTGAAGGCTCAAAAAATACGTCTTCTGAAAGCGTTAGTAGTTTGCTGCAATATAAAGACACAACAAGAGAAACGTTCAAGAGAAACAATCAAAGTTACCACACATTGAGTAGCAGTAGCAGCGAACCTCCTTCACGTCACACAAGCGTTGAGAAAGAATTGCCTGATACAACAGCTCGTAATGAGGTTTTTGGCCATGAGTCAGAAGCCTTTACAACATGCACAAAAATACAAGGATTTTTTTCACCCCATGCTAACAGTTTGAAGATAAATAATCTCCCTTGTATTGGTGAACAAGCTCTGAATGGGTTAGTAGGAGTAACTCAATTCAAGTTATCTAAGACGACTGATCCTGATCGGCTGGTTGAGCTGGGCAAATCTGCTGATTCTGTGAAAGGATTTTGTTTAGCATCTCATGTGCTTTCTGATAGATGTGAAGATGAGAAAAGGGAAAACGCTAAGCGTAAAAATTCCAATGCTGTCACTTCCGTTAAGAAACGACCCAAGCTTGAGCAGGTTAAAGCTCAGAAACTAAAGTTGATTGATTTATTTGACGTAGATTCTTCTTGCGATGAAAGTGACATCAGACTTAAGGAGAAGAAAAAATTGGGCCCTGACGAGCGTCGTAAAAAGGAAACCTCGAAATCTTCGAGTTTGAAAGAACGTCCCATCAGTCGAGAAGCTGTTGAGCGTAGTTCTCAGAAGCAGAAAATTATCATATCGGATCAAGCCGACCATCTCGGTTCAACGCGTACTTCTCATCGTAAAATTACAGATCAGAGACCGCGTAGTGAAGTGAAAAATATTCAATCTCAAAAATCTTCACCGGATCTTGTCTGTAAAGAAGGACTGGCGAAGCCTGGGAAAGTTGTTGCAGCCTCACAGAACGTTGACAGCCGAAGTAACGATGTTGTCAGACGGGAACAAGTAAGTTTAAGTGAGAATCATAACCACAAGTCGGAGAAAAACACAAAAATTGTCAAGTTAGACAGTAAAATGGAGAAAAATACTTCTACTCGCGCGGCAGATCGACAGCCTAAAAAGTTAATGGAGATCGATTTATTTGCCCAGTCTTCTATTTCTGATGAAGAGTTGATGGACATCACTCGTAGTATGGACAAGAAAATGGCTCGGTCGCATAGCCAGAAACAACTGCCGGAGCCTGACAAGCAAAGCCACGGGAAAAAGAAAGATATTAGACTGAATAATGAGCTTGGTACTAATAATACTGTTGCTCAAACTTGTGTGAGAAGCACTATCGTCCAAGACAAGAATAAAAATCAATCGGCAAATAATTTCGTTGAAAGCAAAGAAAAGAATCTTCCTACTCACTCAAAAGTCAAGTCAAGTGAAAGGCCTTTACTAGACGCCATTGATAAACACGCCACTTCAACTGTGAAAACAAATAGCATAGAAAATTCGATGTGGAGTCACAATGAATCTAATCCAAAGAAGTGCCGCTCCAGGAGCCCAAGTAATAAGGTTCAAAAGAATTTAACTTCACGCTCGCATGTGTCGAGCTCAGAGACATGTGGTGACAGCAATAGTTCAGTTGCTAGAAACATGAACCAATCGCACGTGAAAAGAAGCTCGAAAATTAATGATACGAAACAAGGCAATAGTGAAACGATTACCCATCACAGCTCTGCGGTATCCGCTTCGAAATGTGGAAGTAGCAGCAGCAAAAACAAGACGGTTATTCCAGTGAAACTGAAGACCTTCGATTTGTTCGCTGGCATCGAGGAACCCGAGGTCTCATCTGTTAAAAAAGTTTTGAAGTCTAAATCAGAGAAGAAAAAGTCTTCAGGTGCATCTGGAAATGATTGCAAAGCATCCCTTGGCAATGTATCTTCAAGTAAAAATGTTCACTGTAAAGCTGGCAAGTTGAAGGATCTTTTTGACATGAGTGAAGATGATCTCACCGACGAAGATGAAGAAGTAATTCCTAAACCAAGAGTTGATGTCACGGAAATGACTCAAAGTAGAGGAACTTCCATCAGTCCACGCGCCGAACATTCCTCCGACAGTTCAGATAACGAGCATAAAACAGGACGTGATTCTGTTGCTAATGTTTCACCTGAGATTAAAAGGTCTACGTCTTCTACCGTCACCGTTGATGCAAAGCATAACTTTTCTTTTATTCACAAGAAAAAGGATAAGCTACCTATGGTGGATGGAACGAAAGAAAAACATGAATTTCCTACTTATGAGCCTAAAGTTAAGCGAGTCAGTCATTACAATTCAAAAACGGATAAAAATACGATCAATGTATCCCTGAATAAGTCAAAGTGCGCTACTTCGAGTAAACGGGAAGATGAAGCGTTCCTGACTCGTGAAGGCAACAGCCAGGGAGACAACTCGCTTAGTAGTAAGCCGCCAAATTCTACGAAAAAAATTAAGAAGAAAGACAGGTTTTCTAAAAACCCAGTCGAGATAACCTGCCATGCTAAAGAATCCCCTGATAACGATGAAGTTCTGAGCTTGGACGATCATGAAACTGTACCGCAATCAGTGGCACCTTCAGGCACCGCGTGCTCCTCTGTTCCAGCGACAGTGTCTTCAAATTCTATTCCCAATAACGTTATTCCATTAATTGATCTTGGCAGCGGTGATTCCGTTAAAACTCAGGTGGGAGAAACTACACTCATACCTGAACTTGATGTAATTAATCCAATTCAACTTCCCATTGATGTAAGCGCTGCCAAACCCACTGAAAGTTCCAGTGTTGCTTCCATTCAATTAAACGGCCGGAATTCCAGTGTAAACCTAAAGAAGGTGGTGGCTGACGCTGTAGTGAAGTGTCTCACGCCTCGCTACAAGAAAGGCGAAGTAAGCAGCAAGGAGGTTTTCAAGATATTGGCTAGACATCTCACCAGTAAAGTATTGTCTACTCCTGGCGCGACCGAACAGCGTTCAAGAGAAGCTGCTGTTGCACACTACGCAACGAAAGTTTTCGATAGAAGTAAAGGCGTTGTTAGTTCTGAGGAACTAATTGTGGCTGTGCTCTCATAATAAAACAATTGCGTCTAGCAAGTTGTTAAAGGAAAATAGGTCCCAGTTACAGTAAATTTAGTTTTCTTGATATTATTCATAAGCTGGCCTTATATTTTGATCGTGATGGAATTTCTGACAGTAATTTTTGGAAATTGTTGGGGATTCTTCATAGCTTTGTATTTTTGTAGCGAAAGATAGGTTAGCTTGAGGTTGTGTATTAAATTCAACCGATTCATGCTCTAGATTTATAGTTGGTGCTAATCGTATATCAATATTGGCTGTACTACCATTACTGTTAACTTATTCAATATATTGTTGAATTTACTCCCGCTATTTCTCTTACTGTTCATTAGTGCTGTGATGCTGCATATTTATTCTCTTAAGTTAGTGCAGGTATTTTTAGGCAGTTAGGGTTTTATTATAGAAATTTGCAACTTGATTGGATTTCGGTGGAAATAAATATAATGTTGAATGTATGTTCTTTGCCTTCAATGCTTGCCACAATATGTTTGGTACATGCCTTTTTGAGCCGTGATTTATGTTCACGGAAAATTAGATTTCATCAAAATTTATATTCAGGAGGGTTAAAGGGAAGGGACTTATGCACATATCTATGTTCCTTAGCTGTTTGCTCTCATCATCATCTTGAGTTTTTCCTTGTGTCGTAATGCATTATACAGTCTGTTTGTGTGGGTGTGAGCAATGTCGTGTGTATATAACAATTAGTGTTTTAGTCGCAAACTCTGATGAACATATTTCTGATGTGATGCTTAAGGCCAGTTAGTTTTTTTCGATAAACTTCGAACCGAAGTGATGTAGATGAACGCTTGTATGCTGAATGCAGCAGCAGATGATTTTGACCATGATTGAACTAGTATAAGGTTGACCCATCAGAAGCCCATCTAAGCGGATGTAGTTTGTTTTACGCCTGTGACGTCACTGATCTCAGTGATGTCACGGCCATTAACAATTCACAGAAATACGAGCAAACCAGTCAACCAATCCGTCATGGGAATGACGGGTTTGCTTACGTTTCTTGATCTACGTGACGTAACAAGAAAGCTGAACTGAAAGACGGAACTTCTCATGGATCAACCTTATAAAGTTCAACCATGATTTTGACCAGCATCCCGGTGTCGGTGTCGATTATTCATTGAAGTGAAGGAACTTGCGCAATGGCGCAACATTTTGCGACTACCAATAGTCATTTTCTATGTAGGTAGCAATTGTGTTGCATCGTATTTTTTTGAAATTTTCATTTGGGAATTTTATAATATATACGTCAACATTTATGTTCTCGTATTTTTTAATAATACCAGCGCTGTGACATCAACCGAAGATATTAGACCGCTAAATTGTACGCGTTTATTGAAATCGTGTGAGTTCATTCCGATTACCTTAATTGGTTTCGAGATTATATCTTTATCGGTTGGAAAATTGGAACGAAGTATTTAATGACTTTGCGATTTTGGTCTTGAACTTTTTCTTTCATTTGATTTCATGTTTAAAAAAAATGCACACTAACTAATCAATCGAACTCTGATCCAAAACTGAACTTATTGGAATTGTTCTTGTAAGGCTAATGCACTGGTAGCACCGACGGGGGCGGCTGGGGCTGTTCTGGGCTTCAACAAAGATTGTGCTGACCATTGCTCTGATTGTTCTTCTCTGGTCCAGAATTGGTTTAGACGAGGCAGCAAAATTTGTACCTTGATGGACTCATAAATGATAGTATTCACTGCCTGAGTTGTCGCCGTTCTAAATCAAACTAAAATGCTGACGTAACTCGTAATGCTGTTTATCTCATCATGCTGCTTATGAGTGAGAATAAACGGTTTGAAGGCAGAGGTCGTAAAATCAAAAGACTATTTTTGTCAGTTTGCCCGAGAGTACGGGACTTTTGTACTGGCTATCACTTTTGATAATATTTGCAAGTCTTTTTCAAATCTTTTTGTTAGTCTTTTGGCAACGGGGGAAAATATTTTCAATGGCAAATTTCAAATACTTGACAGTCTTGACCAGAAGAGCTGAAGTCCAGCACAAAGCCCCATGCCGTCATGAGGAGACTTGTGGCGCCCTCTCGGTCCCGGAGCTGCTCCATAAAAAACTAACCCTTAGGTTTTTCATCTTCCATTCAAACAATTGGCCCCTTCACTTGCCTTATATGGCTTTTTTCTATTCATACTAATTTCAGGACTTTTATTTCTTATCTCAGAGCATAGTATGTCTGAAATAACTTGAGGTTGTACGCAGATCTAATTTTTACTATTATTTTCTTTGATCAAATTCGGTTGTGAGTACTCCTTACCAGTAAATAGTGATATATTACGGGAGGAGTTCAAAATAGTGAACTACCTAATATCTCTGAGTTTGCTTTGCTGTTTTCTCATTTCCAAAAAAAACTCGAACACTAACGAGTACTACCGGCCATCGAAGCATTACTGATCGGTAAGCTTTCGTATTTTCGTTATTCATAACTCAAGTTCAGATCCTCCTTGTTTAATGTTCAGAACTGAACGTTTAAAAGTCCTCGCAGTGGAAATCGAGGTATCTGTATCTACGTTGAATTACCGACAGGAATAACTTTATTTTGAAGGAAGTAAAGCTTTGAATAAAGGACGCCATTATTTTTTTATGAACGACATTATTTATTTAGACTTTCACTCGTAAGTTGGCGCTTTTTGAATCGATTTTGAAGGTAATAATAATGAGTTCAAAATCACTAACGTTCGTCACCGGCAACGCCAAGAAGCTCCAGGAAGTGGTGGCCATACTCGGGGACAGCTTCCCTGTCAGGTGAATATAATTGTGCTTTTGAAAGTTTCTTCTCTGGTTTCATTTATTGAGATGTTAGAATTAATTTTAAAATTGAAAATAAATAATTATTTAGCTGATACATCGCCTGCTAATTAGTGCTCTGTATACCTGACTGTATTCAGAGCACTCTAAAGTGCTTACTTTTTTTTTACACTTTTTTGAATTCTCACTTTTTGGCAACGGCATCGACGGCTACCCAAGACAAATAAGTTTAATTGGTTAGCTAGTAACTCTCAATAGAAATGGAAGTCAGCGCTCGAGTTATGATGAGAAGCCTTTTTGAGTCAATACGCTAATCTATATTAGAAAGAAATTGTGGTCTTCCAATGATCTTCTATTTGATCGGCCATATCGACGATTGTCAATGTGTACTCAAATAACTCATCGTGACATTCGGCGCGAAAAAGCTCGACCTGAAGCGCCAGCAAATATGGCCACTGAACTAACGAACTAACAACTCAAACAAGCTAGGTGTATTATTCAATATCTTGTATCACAGCATCCGGAGCCTGGGAGTGGACCTGCCTGAATACCAAGGCGACCGGAAAGCGCCAGCAATTATTGCCACTGAACTAACAACTCAAATAAGATAGGCGAATTACTTTAAAATCTTGTATCGCAGCATCCGGAGCCTGGGAGTGGACCTGCCTGAGTACCAAGGCGACGCGGACGAAGTGACGCGTCAGAAGTGCAGAGCTGCAGCGCAGCACGTCAAAGCTCCTGTCGTTATTGAGGACACTTGCCTGTGTTTCAACGCCCTGGGGGGGCTGCCGGGGCCTTACATCAAGTGGTTCTTGGAGAAACTTGGCCCCGACGGCCTCTACAAGCTCCTGGCTGGCTTTGATGACAAGAGTGCTGTTGCTCAGTGCACATTTGCGTACTCGTCCGGTGAGAAAGAACTTGCGTTGAAGTTGGTTCTGCTGAGTGTAAATACCTCCTTTTCTTTACGGATTTTACGCATTTAAATAAGTCTTAGTTGCAGCTTGAATTTTAGTGAATCAGTACAATATCTGTAATAAGAGCCATTTATTAAAATAATGTATCTATCCTAAATAAATTAGATTATTTATTTTCGAGTAATGTTATATATTAATTGTCAAACTTGTGCTGGATGACTTCAGTCCAAGTGGACGGTGCTCTCAGATTATTGTCCACTGCAAAATAAGATAAAATTTATATTTTGTTCGGTTCCCTTCTTACAGATTTCTGATTTCCTGGCATTCAATCGGATTGTTTAGATATTTGTTTGCCACGTTTTGTTTATAGTTCATACTTTTTTCAAATAAATTGAGACAAGACTTACTTTTAATGAGCCCTCTCGTTGCCCGAGTTAACGTCTGGAATACGCTTTGGCAGAACTTGCAATAACTATATTGCACCTGCAATAACTATATTATTTGTAGCTATTGCACTTGCAGTAGCTACATTATTTCACATCACATTTCATTTTCTTTTATTTATAATCCATCCCAATTGTATGGATTTTGATATTTCATGGCGTGCTCAGGCTCAGATGACGCGGAGGTGCTGCTCTTCCACGGACGCGTGCCAGGCGCCATCGTCGCTCCCCGCGGGGAGACACGCTTCGGTTGGGACCCTTGCTTCCAGCCCGACGGTGAGACCTTTTTCTTATAACTATTTTCATAAAGATAACAATTATTTTGAAATGAATATACTATGAATTGAGACCTTTTTCTTCTAACTATTTTCATAAAGATAACAATTATTTTGAAATGAATATACTATGAATATTTTAAGAAGCCTATCCTATTGAGGCGGTGATCCATCGTGGCCTGGGACTGCTACGTCCCAAACAAATACTAAGGAAACTATAAATTTTGAAATGGATATTCTGTCTTGCTATCTCAACTATAAACGCATGTTGCAAAAAATTCGCTCTTTCTTCTAAGATGGAAGTTCAATTAACCTTGCTCGTGCTCATGCAGCTCTCGCTTTCTTTCACTTGCATATTAAAAACTTTATCCCAAACTTGATTGGTCACGGTGAAGATTAGGAATGTAAGTTTTAAATGATTTTGCAAGGTACTTTAGATTATTTTTCGCCAGTCGAAATTATTCATACAACGAGAGCTGGAATTTCTATAAGACATTGGCCTGCAAATTATTTCCTGGAGTTATTTCCGATTAAATCAGGGAAAATAAATGCGAAGGGATTTGTGTTCTAATCCACATGAAGGTTTCTTCTGTGCAATGGATGGCTCATGTTACTTTCGAATTTTGTGCTTTCGTTGGGTAAGCTGCGAGGTGAGGGATACTTGCTCTATATTAAATAGCATCGCGTAGTAAGCGTTGTTTTACGCGATTTATAGTATCCAAGCGTATCAAAAAACGTTTCCGTACATTAAAAAGAATTTTCGGGCGAATTAAAATCAACCGTCAAAGATTGATCATGAATGTGAAACACAAACCGTCTAAACGTTTTTCATCCAAATTTGGGGAAAAAATCATACAATGGTATGGATCGAAAATATTAAAAATTCTTAACTGAATAAATTCTAGTAAAGAACAAACTGCATCAATTAATGAGGTCCGAGAAAGCTTGATCGCCATCGTCAGGTCTAGGTTTTGAACTGACGATCGAGCTTGACTCCGAAACGTTTTCTCTTATAAGAAATGATGAACTATTTGGCTATTTTCTTTGCTTTTAAATTCCTGGTAAATTTGCAATTAAAGCAACCCACTGATCTTAATACTTATCTCATTCGGTTTACAGGATTTACCGAGACTTTCGCTGAGATGAGCGCAGAGACGAAGAACGGCATCTCGCACCGACGCCGCGCGCTTAACGCCCTAAAGGAATACTTCGCTGCAGACGAGGGCCTGACGCGTCTACGAGCTGACCTGCTGCAGGACGACCTGCACACTGATGCTGCAGGACGACCTGCGCACTGATGCTGCAGGACGACCTGCGCACTGATGCTGCACGACGACCTGCGCACTGATGCTGCAGGACGACCTGCACACTGATGCTGCAGGACGACCTGCACACTGATGCTGCAGGACGACCTGCACACTGATGCTGCAGGACGATCTGCACACTGATGCTGCACGACGACCTGCGCACTGACGCTGCAGGGTGCTGCACTCTTCACGATGATCTCAGTTCGGTGTTCCAGGATTAATCGAACAATAATCAGCTTGTTATATAAATTCCTGTTTCGTTAGATATTTTCATCACTTGAAGTAGATATCGAGTTAAGTATGCGTGTTAAGACTTGTGGGACCGCGAAACAAGAAATAATCTGATTTTACTCCATTTCTTCGAAAACGTATGGTTGTGAGGTAAAATTTCTCTAATTGTAATTGTTGGTCATAGTTCTGCTAAATTATAAAATAACATAATTTCCAAACTCAGAATACATTTTTCTGAGCTCGGATTATCAAATTTCAGTATTGATATTTTTATTTTGTTAATTTCGATGTAACTATTACAAGTATTGTTATTTCACAACGTTTTATAAGTCGTTGTTTGAGATCATCAGCTGGTCAGGGTAAGAGTGCATATGACGGTGTTTTTGATTTATTCCATTTGAAGTGATTTAGTTAATTTACATGTTTTCAAACAAGGCACAAATAAGCGCACCTGTGATAAATATAATGATCGAAGTTGATATCTTGAAGCATCATTTACAACCAAGCGTTCGCTATAGTCCGCATTTTTCTTGACCTGTATATTCGACTGCAATAGAATTGACGAGTTCTAGCTCATATGATATATACGACTTATCACTTATAATTATGTTACAAACAATACTTGGTTGGATAGTGAATAGTTCAATTGCAAATAGTGCCATAATTGGAGCATATTAACATCGATTGAATGAAAGTCGCAACCCATGTTTGATGAATGCTCATTCAGCAGCATTTTAGGAATGAATTCGTATGTATAATTTTGAGATCGTCCTGCTTTGAAACATTTCGCAGAAAAACCTTTCATCAGTTACCATTCAAGACCACATCAAAATTAAAGCAAGATCAAGCTAAGTTTCTCGTCAGTTATGTTCTGCAGCTGCTGGAGGTTGAGTTCTTGTTCGCGCTGCAGGAGCGCGGCGAGAGGAAGGCCCTGCAGAGTGACGTTGCTCGCGCCCTGCCGCAGGATAACGTCGTCGCTGTCGCGGCTGCGGTACACCACTCCTGCGCGCGGTCTCACCTGACATAATCAAGTCATTATAAATATCATCTACATATTATAATGTGGCCTGCCCTGACATAATCAAGTCATTTGAGAGCCTGTACATATTATAATGAGCCATGTCCTGACATAATTAGGTCATTTGAGAGCCTGTACAATTTAGCGCATTTTCTCATTTACGAAAAAATACACTATTGCTCACTTAGGCCTCACCTGAAGCGACAAAATCAAATTATTTAATCCTTGGTATACTGCATAATTTTTCAACGTTACAATCGATCGAAATGTACATGAAATTGCATCTATGCAAACCGGTAAGGATTAAGAACCTATTAATTCTTTATTATATTCACTATCCTGCAAAATTTGAGAGCCCAATTGGCCGATTTAATAGTGAGACCCCCAAAAAAATGCTACCGAAGAATTTACGTCGAGATTAATTAATCACAGTTGCATTGCGTTATTTCGCTAGAGACATTTCTCGAGTATGCACCGTAATGATGACAACGTAGCGATCGGTTGGCTGTAGGTTGGCGGCGGCAGGTTGAGGCTCCTCAGCACTGCCATGCTGAGTGAGCAGCACTGGGATGAACTGCACCAGCTCGTCACACGGCAGCACCAGCGGTCTTATCTCGCCCACGCACTGCGATACTCCTAGTGGACGGATATACAATAAATATGCGTTCAACGAGCGACTTCAAAACGGATTCATTATGGAGTAAGCCAAAGCAGTACAAGTGTTCACCTGACTAACCAGGTTTGTGTTTATTGTGACGGTGACGATAAACTCACATGAAGCAATCTATGTAATGTCGGGCGGTCAACGTAGCGTGGCACAACACAAATAGCATAGCCAGCAGCGCAATTGTGCAGCCAGTGAAGATCGCGCAATATCAGCGTCACACGGTTAGATTTTCGCTTATTTCACATGAGTCGGGAAGAAACATTCATTGCGGATTGCAGTTCATTCAATGCCGTGGTGGGAAGTCCACAGAGTGTGGCAGTACAGTAGTCCAATTTGGTCAGAACGAGCGCCTTGGGCAAGATCGGCTGACGCTAGCCAAACGCACACCAAGCATGAGACAGCAATACGGCACAACATACTCAACATGAGGCAACAACATGTTACAACATACCAAAGATAAAGCAAGAAGACGGCACAACATACCCAGCATGAGGCAGCAACATGGCACAACACACCAAGCATGAGGCAGTCGCGCTGCTGCTGCGTCATGCTGATGCCCTCAACGACGCCGCCTTCCGAGACGCCAAAGAAGACGCGGCCGCCCTCGCCGCTGTTCAGCATCCCGAGTAACACCTGAAACCGATCGAAAATTATTATTTTTTTTTGTACGTAGTTCAAAAAAAAACTACAGAAAAACTTTGTTGTTCTTTAGTGACAGGAATTTCTCACGATAGAAACTTAATATGCACTCTCAATCTCTAAAGCGCTTCAAACAGAATACGAGAAATGGCAATATTGTTCCCACATCTTAAATAACTAATAATAATTATTGATTTACTCATAAAACTTTCTGAGTAGAAATTTAAAAGCAAAGAACACGGCCAGAATATTAACTATTTCTTAAGAATGAAAACGTTTCGGAGTCCAGCTCCATCGTCAGTTCTGACGATGAACTGACGATGGAGCTGGCGAACGACGAAATATGACGAATATCATATTCCATCGGAATATGATTTTCTTTACGTTAATTAGACGAATAGGTATCGAATATCGTGATGTGTAATAAACCTTAACAAGAACAAAAGTAAGAAAACCGGAGGCTGAGTGGTTAAGATCACCAAGATTGGAGCAGCGAGTTGAGGCTTCGAGACTCGCAACTGGTAGTAAAAATTCTGGTCTAAATAGGAAATGTGGCCACTTGTTTGAATATCGGCCACAAGCCAAAATGTTCTAATCATAGCTGACACAAAAACAGAAATAGTTACGAACATGACAAGACATGAATTGCTTCTAATAAACAGCGTTGAAGGTGCATCGAAGTGGGCCAAAATGTCAGACATTATAAATACGTATCCGACGATAGACGAAGAAATATCGGGATTTCTTTTCTAACTACGGTATGTTTTACATTGAACATACTTCCTTATGCATTCTAATTATGCCATGAAAACATTCGTCTAGCTCTTAACAATGACCAATGAAATAGCATCAGGCTCACAAGACTGAGGCATAGAATATAAGATGTTTCAATATGTGATGTAGGAGCTTGATACCTTCAAGAGCGTAGCACAGCGGATGTTGTCGACGCATCGCTCCTGCAGGAGATGTTGCGTCGCGTTGTTGCAGACGTTGATGTGGTGGCCACGATACAGCCGTCCCCAGCCTGCACTCACACAATTAAGAGACTAGCGATGCACTTCTTGTCCGTGTGTGTGTCATCTTGGTGCATTTTTTTTTCACAAAAGGACGTATCAGTGCTACACGCAGCAGAGAAGTCACTAATTGTACAATTTGACCCATTCACATTTCTGTAATCGTGTATGCCCCACGCCCACTGATATTACAGCGGTGGCGCGGTCTTCTCGTAAGAAATGTGTAATATATCAAGTTAATTAATCTAGAGCATGAAGGAATTAAAGCTTTAATACGATAAAACGAGTATCAACGTATGTTAATGATTTTAAGGTTAATTTGAGCTAAGGGTTTGTGGATGTTAAAGTGATAGGGATGATTAAAAGAACGTTAAATAGGCATCCTGGGAGTCCTCCAATTTTTGCACACGAGGAGCTCTCAAACTAAAGCAAAACCAAAGAAACATTTCTTGTTGCTGATACTTCATGCTTCGAGCCTCAGTTTCCGGCAAAAACTTTCAGTGATCTTATTAATTTAAATGATCCAGTTAAGACTACTGCAAGACTTTAAAAAACCGACCGGCAATTCTAATATTATGATTCAATATCATAATTAAAATGATAACGTTCTCCAATAATTTACAAACAAAGTAACATGGCCATTGATATATTTATGTGGAAGACAGATCCGACTGAAGACTTTTGAGCCGATTTAGTATATAAACCTTTAGTTATGTCAAAGATATTCAACTAATGAACTCCTTAGAAAGCAATCATGAGATTTTCAGAATTTTAATAGCTGGCTTTAAAAAAGTTTCTTAAAAGAATCAGCATGAGTATTTACTAATTCATATCAATAATCGTTAATTCGTCTGAAGTTGGTACCAGCATTAGGCCGCGGCAGCGGGGGTTGTTGCAGGCAGGAGGCGTCAGTAGGCTTCCAGGTGACGCGGCGTGAGGTTTTCATGCCGCGCGCCTCCACTTGCCATAGCCGCGACCAACTCAGCGAGGTGTCCAAGTCGGCCAGACTGCACACGCTGTTCAGCTTACCACCTTTACGGTTCATCACTGCAGTTATTTATTGGCTTCACAACACAGCGGACTTTAGTTAGTACTGTAACGAGATAATATACAAAATTCACGTTAGACCGAAGCGCAACAATATGGTTCGTTGGATCCTGTCCCTTGAGTAACGTTAAATTACTTACAAAATACAACACAAGTGTTATTAAAATTTTAAAAATATCATAATAACTTCTGGTTCAATTTGTTTGCAAACGTGTCATATTGAAAATTCACCACTGAAGATATTGTTTTTTTTTTTATTTTCTGCCAAGGATTACTGTCAATGACACTAAGTCGTCACTAAGCAGATACGGTACGGTACTAACTTACCACACTGCTCGTCAATAAAAACCTTTTGATACCGGTCAGAATTGTTACTTTTGGGTTCGATTGCCCCCTCAATAACTAAGGAGCTTTTTAAATCACGTTATTAAGTTGTGGCTCAGGCTCAGTTCTGTAAACAAAATAGATCGTTTCTCTTGAAGTCTGGCGACTCAAGTGCCGTGGCGAAGTTAGTGTCATTGAGATTGACGGCGCTCGCTAGAGTCTTAACGAATCAAAATTAAACAAACAAGTTAGAAAAGAAAACATAGCATTGCGGAGTTGGAATAATTTAATTACCTATCAAATCTCAATGACTCCAGTGAACCTAATATGATAAATACTTACATATTAATTTATTCAAATATTCATTTACCTATTATTTGCTGGAGTGAACTCCTAGTCACATAGGACAGCTCCGCTGCGGTGGGTATAGGGAGTACACTCAGTACAGTGACGTTTTATGTGCAATTGACGCTATAGTAAACACACTGCACGGACTGCCAAGAAGCGTAGACTGTGCCACTGCTACGGCTTTCTCCGGTAAATTAAATTGACCAAAACAATTTATGATCAATATGATAGATATCGGATAAAATTACGCTGAATATAGTATTTTTTAAGACAACACCAAACATTATGTAACAAGAGACGAATTCTGCCTGAGCAGGCTATGCTAATGTACTCACGTACCTACTTCCATTTTATATTTACATGGTACACTGAGTCACTAACCGTAACTGACGCATCAAAGACTAGAGTAGAAACTTCAAAACCACACGACTCAGGCTTAACAAAAATCAAGTGACTGACTTTATATTTAAATGATAGAAGTTCAATTTCAAACCGCTTTATCAGAAGTTAAGCAACCACCAGATTTGTTTAATTGCGTTACAGTTTGAAATTAAAAATAAATAAAGTGAGAAAAAGCATAAACAAATTCTGGAAACTTCTGCGTTCTCGCGACGTGTATGCAATACCTATATGGCTGCCGGATGAACGATGAACTCGATATTTAGTGATTTGAGTTAATGTTAAGACATACAACTAGAAATAGCTGAACGTTTCCCCTACTTTTAGCATGCATTCCTTTACGAACATTGGATCTACTATCCACAAGAAATATAAAATTTATTTGTTTGTGGAATACTAATACTGAAACTCTAAAACTACTCGACTTCTAAAGGCAGAATATGAGGTTTATGATGGTAACTACGGTTGCAGGCCGGCGGACATACAGATTACAGATGTTCGGCATTTTGTTTATTTACGTATTGAAAATTCTGAGAAGGAGCAAACGTGCTGTTATTCAAAACCTGAACAATTTATCGGAATGGATTATCGTCATTCAGCCTACCTTGGCGGGAAGTAAACGGTGTGTGAGGACTCAGATACTTAGTGAGGACTGAGGATCTGCAACAGGAACAACCTTATCATTAATCAGCAACGGCAAACATTTTCTAGTATTTATTATTAGGGCAATCAGTATTTCAAATTAGTATTTCAAATAAGTTTACTTGTGCATACAAATTTTCGATAAGACTAAAATATCAAGGAATTTAAAAGCAAAGAAAACGCCAAGAAAATTCACCATATCGATATTGAAAACGACGTTTTCAATATCGATATGGTGAATTTTCTTGGCGTTTTCTTTGCTTTTAAATTCCTTGTGAACTTGCGATATAAGCAGACTAATGATATAAGTACTAAAATATCAGTTTTACTACATCCCAGAAAGAATAATTTTATTCGATTTGTAATTGCTAATTAGGCATTGAATAATGAAATTTTTACATTATCAATGGGGGAGGGGGTTGAACTTTCAGCTATTGTGGTCATAGATGATATTATCACCAACATATCGATTGTAATGAATCCGTCTATATCACTGAATATGTGAATATACAATATTTTAATGCAAATATTTTGATACGTATAGTATATAATTTCAAATGAATCAATCATGGAAAAGTTTGTTGATAGCTTTCCTGCTCGTGTTTAGTGTTCTGTGTTAACCAAACCCAATTGACAGAGCTCGACATATGTGGACTACAACGCAAAACCGCACGTTATGCGCATGCGCAATAACTTCGCCCGTTTGACCAAATCACGATGAAATGTAAAAAAATGCATACGTTAATAATATAATGGTTGAACTAGTATAAAGTTGACCCATGGTTAAACTATATACGGTTGACCCACGAGAAGTTCCGTCTTTCAGTTCAGCTTTCTTGTTACGGCACGCAGATCGAGAAACGTAAACAAACCCGTCATTCCCATGACGGATTGGTTGACTGGTTTGATCACATTTCGGTGATTGGTCAATGCCCATGACGTCACTGAGATCAGTGACGTCACAGGTGAACAACGAACTACATCCGCAAAAATGGGCTTCTGATGGGTCAACCTTATACTAGTTCAACCATTAGGTTGACTCATGAGAAGCTCATTCTTGCAGATGTGGTTTGTTGTTCGCATGTGACGTCACTGATCTCAGTGACGTCACGGGCATTAACTAATCACCGAAATACGATCCAACCAGTCAACCAATCTGTTATGGGAATGACGGGTTTGATACGTTTGTCGATCTACATGACGTAACAAGAAAGCTGAACTGAAAGACGGATGTTCTAGTGAGTCAACCTTATATAGTTCAACCATGTATAATACCAATGTGATGTCGCGAGCGTCGTCATTCTTCCAATCGCGTTTGAGATAAAACAAGGGCCTCATTGAAGGGTCACGCATTTTCTGTCCGCATTTCATTTGTTTGTGTCATTGTGTGGTATTATTTAATGACCGGGAGATCAAAGTAAAAAGAACTAGAGCCGATTCAGCTCGACTGTAGGCAACACCAATACTCAGTGAAAAGACGTCTGGGGTGGATTTGATCCAAATGATTGCTTACTTTCTTTGAGTATCAGGAAGAAATCAAGATTCGTGATTACAAATATTCATAAGAAGTTACATTGAAAGTTATTGACACGATCATGAATTTGTCTGTCTTAACTGAAGAATAAGCTCAGTAATATTAGTAACGTAATTTCTGGAAGAATTTGATTGAATTAATGAATCAGAATATCAAGTAAACTTTTTAAATTTTAGTCAAAACAATTTAACTCATTTGGCTCGACCTCAGTTAAAATCTCTGAGTTAAAACGTTTACTATAAATATTCTAAACCTCTTTGACAATCCCAATAATAATCTTCACTGATCAATAGATTTGCGGACAGGCACCAGAAACCTAAATGCCAGAGAAAGTGTGAATAAAGTTTACAATTTCCTAAAGCACGAACGGAGCAAATAAATAATGAAGTGACCCATAGAAGTTTGTTTATTTAGCAGAAGATGCTAGCGAGCGCAGCCATAACTAGCACCAGAAGTGCAGATCATAGACGTTTATCTTCAAGTTGGTCATTGTGAAAAGCATTGTCGGTTTTGAATAAAATGCAACTTAGTAACGAGTTGAAATTAGTGACATTGTTACATCTTACATTCACGTAATATGGTATCAATTCACAATTCACAGTCATATAATTGGATAGGATATGTTACATAGTAACATAGTTACTTTGCAACATTTCACTCGAATGTGCTACTGTCACATTTACTGCCCTGGTCCTCCACATTTGTAACATTTAACGGCATGAATAGTGATACCACCTTTCAGCTCTGCTGATCTGTATCTGTTCCCACGCCCTGAACACGATTTAGCTGAACTAACGCTCACCAGAAGAATGATCAGTCAGAGTAACATTTGAATAGTAACTCGTCTTCAACTTGCTCGATTGCTTACCGTGAATAGCCTGATAATTGTCAGCAATTTTAATAACTTCATCTAAGACAATCTGAAAGATATTTCTCCCCTTCAAAAATTCTGAGAAACCTTTATCTACACAAAGCCTCAATTGATCTTTAATCACTAACTCTTGTAACTTTTGTAACTGCATCTTTAAAAAGATTTTCTTCGAGATACAAAATGAACTGAGGAAATGATTCCTCTGCTTGACGAGCACCATGAAATCGCCGCTGGTAATCGTATATAGTCAAGTCAAAACTCTGCACAATTAGGTCTCCTACCTCAACATATATGGTAACACAGGTTGCAATGTATTCAAAAACTCCCCAACCTTAGAATTGGCAAAACCGTTCATCAATGCAGGAATAGCAACACTTTCCGACCAGCTCCTTAACTCTCTCAAAAGTTCTCAAAAACACCGCTTCATCTTCTCCTTCCTTGAAAGGATTCAATTTAATGTCAGTCCTCGAATGTACCGAAATCTGGTACGGCACGCTTGCTTCAATTCGCGTCCTCTCCATCTCGAGTTCCGCCATTCGCAGTTCGCGTTCTCTTTTCTTCTCTTCTCGTGCAAGAAGTCTTTCTTCTCGATCAGCCTCTTCTTTCCTTCGCTGCTCTTCCTTTTCTAAAAGCTCTTCTTCCCTCCTGAATCCCTCTGTCACATACTTCAACAATGTGCAGTCACTGAGACCTCATTCCTTTCCGTCACGAATGAACATTGACTCGTGCATTGCTCATAAGATGATAAGTAAGTTCATTTTTCTCGAACTGGAATTTAGAAGATGACTCAAGTTTATCTCAACACTTAACAGTCAAAACGCAGGAACACTGAGCTCTTCGTCTAAGTATTCCACAATCATACTGGCCACCATTGTAATGTTTCTATTGGTTCAGGTTCAAACGGACGAGTTTATTGATTCATTGACGGTAACTTCCGATGGGTGTTTGGTTTAATAGGATTTGTCCAGGTTCCAAGTTTATTAAGTAGAACAGCAGAACAGAAGAGGGAAGTTCTCCTACATATAAACACGCATTTCACTGATTAGGTACAAATATAATTCAAAACATATTCTCAGTTATTCTATTACAAATTAGAGAACCTAGACGCTTACCAAGAGCAAGAACACAAGCGTAAGTAGGGTTCAACGAATGACCAAACCGTAAGACAGGTCCTTCCAATGAATACATTGGTTGATGTTGCCAGAACATCTGCTCCAAAATTCCTGAAGCTGAAAATCATTACAGTTAAGCATTTGAAAAAATTAGATTTGTTTGGCACATGACCTGGGAAAAAAAAACAGATAAATTTTCAAATATATACTAAAATATGTTAAAATTATCCATTCAATCCGTGCATTATGATAAGCTAACTTTTATAGATGACAATTCAAAACCTGAAAATGCGATCATTGTAATGCAAGCATACAATCTAGACGATTTGAAATGCATCACGTTGTTCGTAATCCCCCGCAATGTGAGGCTGGCTCAGTGGCAGGGCATCTTGAAATCCGTTCGCTACATCGCGGCTGCGGTACGAGGTCGATACCAAGCCTGCCTGCCTGCCTGCCCACGCACCATCCCGAGGCATGGTGCAGTGTTGCAACTATCGCTACTACAAGTACACTTTACATCACACTTGCCTGCAGCCCACGCACCATCCC